TCATGGAACCTTCAATGTTACACAAGACTTAGCTGCCATTCATGAAGAGCGGCGTATGATAACCCACGGTAAAAGGAAATGATTTGTGCGCCTCTAAACGAATAAACACAAAGCGATCAGCTGAATCACACATGGTCGCACTCATGATTGGCAAATTTCAATGTTGGAGACAAAGTTTAGTGACAGACGCGACAGATAGAGAAAAAAAACGAACAGAATGAACAACACACATAGACTTAGTACATAAGAAAATCAATTCCTGTTAAAGAATTTGGAATAAATTAGCCACGCAAGGTTAAAGAAGAAGGTTTTTTTTTATTAGGAGTAGGGTCCGGACAAGCTTATTTGCTATCTGCAACCACACAGAAAAAAAACACCTTTTTTCAAAGGGCCAAATTAATCAGCCTAATCATTCAACCGGGAAAAACCTTGTGCAATATGGGGCAACGATTGAGCTAAAAGATAAATCCTGAAAAGTTTCTTTTAAAATTTGCGATTAGGGGGAAAAAAGAGAGAAGTAGTACGGAAAAAACTTAAAAAAAAAATTTATTAAAGGCCAAACTCTGACACAATCCTTTGCCCCGGGGAAAAATGCTGACAATAGGGCAAAAACTAAGATTTTGGAATGAAACCCCCTGTAAAGTTTGGATAAAATTGCACCAGTAGTGTTATGAGGAGTAGTCCAGACAAGCTTCTGGTGAATCTGGGCAAACACACCAGAAAAAACACCTTTTATATCAAAGGGCCATAACTCGGCCAAACATCATTCACCGGAAAACCCCGTGCAATATGCGCAAGCGACTTGAGCTTAAAAGGGGAAATTTTTTTTTTTTTTTTTTTCATTTTTTCCTGTAAAAGTTTTCATTGAAATTTTGCATAAGTGGTATAAGAGAAGTAGTCCTGGACAGCAACGACATTATTGTTGTGCTTGTGGTATTTTTAGTTTCAACTTTTTCGGCATTTTCTAGTTGGGTGGTTCCAATATTCCTACTTGAAATTAATGTTGAATCACCCTTTAGGATATTTGCCTGCCTTCTTTAAATTTGTTTTTACGTCTTATTCTGTGCTCAGACGCAGGCCCTTTCAATAACCTCTGATCCCCCTTTCAAATTGCATTTTATTTAGTTCCGCCCATTGTTTTCTGGTTTAGGGCATATATAGTATTCAAGTAGGAATACTAGAGCCAAAAACAATAATAATTTATTTTGCTCCGTTTTTGAATGATCTCTCATGTTTAGAAAAATCTTGTCCGAGGCAAATCCTGAAAGCCCTTTGAGATTATTTGTTTAAACACCACACAGTTGTAGAGGATATCATCGGTAATTAATCATATTACATCTTTATTTGTTTATGAAAAACATTAAATAGGAAAAACAAGATCAACAAGGAAAGGCGGCGTTCAATGAACGGCAACCCCCCCAATATGAACCCAAAGCAACAATTGAACCAGTGGAAGGGCAGCCCAGGGTGGACCCCCAAAACAATAAAATAGGACAGGGGAAACGACAACTTTAATCATTAAATGATAAATAAATTTGTAACTGATTAGGAAAATTTAGTTTAGGAAATTTAGGAAATTAAAGAAATTAGGCCTTTCTTTAGGGATTTGATTTTTATCTTTTTATAACAGCCTGTAATGTTCTTCCTTCCACATGTCCCTTAGCTTTCTTCTGCTTAGGGAAAGCAAGATCCGATTTTAAAAACCGGTCGTCTTGTTTAATCCTGTCCCCTTTGATTTGGGGGCTATTATTCAATCACATTTATTTAATTTTTCTTAGGAATTCCCCTTATCAGTTACAAAATTGTTTGTTCATTAGAGTGATTTAACCTGTCCGTGTTTTGGGTCTTTGCCCTGTCCGGGGTTTTTGGGTTTGGGGTCCCCCTTGGGCCCCTTTGCCCCCTGGTTTCTTTTTGGGTTTTGGGTCATATGGGGGTTGCGTTCTTTGGGAAACGCCGCCTTTCCTTTTTTGATCTTTTTTTATCATATATTATACTGTAAATATGCAGGCTTCTTTAACCTTTGTTTTCCCCTTTCAAAATACCATTTTATTTTAGTTCGCCCACTTATTTTTTTCTAAAAAGGGCAGAAAAAAAATTTTATAATTTGGGGGACCATACGCCGTTTTTCGGGGGAAGGGGCACAAAACGAGTCACATAAAAATTTCCCATGTTTGACCCCCGGGTTATAAACAAACTTCCTGGGGCCCGTTCCATTTTAAAAAATTAGGGGGTTTAAAAACCCGGGAAACAAAAGGGATTCCTTTTTACTCTCTATTTTTAAAATACATATTTTTTATACATTTCTTATTAAATGCAAAGCCGAACGCTTCGGTACCGTAAATTAGTATTTTTTTAATTACTCGTATGTTTAAATTTGACTGAACAATAAGAATAGAGAAAAACAGATTATCTAAAGAAAACCCAACACGGCAAAATTGAAAATGTTGCAGGCTCGGTTTGATTGGTGTACTGGAAAGTGCAAGTACCGTCCACGCCCCGTAGTACCGGCTTAAGCAGAATTAAACATGAGCTTGTAAAATTTTGAATTTGAAACATCCGCATATGGCAGTTATCATGGAACCTTTAATGTGACACGTATTCCATGAAAAGCGGCATATGGTCCCAAAGTAAAAAAAAAAGGATGTGCCCTAAACGGGAAAACAACAGGCGGAACTAAATAAAATGGAATTTTGAAAGGGGATCAAAGGTTATCACAGGTCAAAAGACAAATTTAAGGAGCAATTATCATAGTATTGCAAGCAATCCATAAGTCCCCTACCGGTTAGAACCCCATCAACATTCTGAAGGGCCATTGGCCATTCACTAATGTTTCAATTTTTCTCTATTTTGAGTAAATTTGTTGGAAAAGTTCTTTAAATGTGATCAAAGGAAACAGTTTTTATGAACAGACAGACAGACGGACTGAAGGACACTCTAAGGTTAATTTTTGAAACATCCCTGTTACCAAAATATAACATTTTAAAAAGCAAAATTCTTAAAGAGGAGATAACTCTTGAATTAAAATATGATAAAAAAGATCATCAAGGAAAGGCTGCGTTCAATGAACACAGCCCCCAAAAGATGCAATTTAATAAAAAAATTCAGCTAATTTTTACAAATCACAAATATTGTTATATTTGCCATGTTTTAAGCCTATTTGTTGCCAAGGCAACCAATATTTTTTCAAAATAGGAAAAACAGATAAGACATGCATAATATCAAGACTGCCATATACCCATATGTCAAGTTGCATAAAAATATTACCAGGACTTTTTGAGTTATCATTGGATTCAGTTTATGTGTAAAATTTGCCATATTTCAGCCTATTTGTTGCCATAGCAACCAGAATTTGCAACATAGGAAGAAAAGAAAAAGACATGCATAATCTCCATACTGCCATCTATCCATATATCAAGTTTCAAAAAATATTTTCAGTACTTTTCAAGTTATCGCGGGATCCAGTTTTGTGGACGGACGGACTGATGGACTGACAGACAGACGGACGTTCCAACATTTTGGGTTTAGGGGCTATTTTCTTTGTTATTATCCCCCGCCGATGGAATCGGGAGGGGGATATAGTTTTGGCGTTGTCCGTCCGTCCATCCGTCCGTCCGAATTTCGTTTCCGGAGTAGTTCTCTGTAACTAATGGCTGGAATTCAACGAAACTTTATGGAAATGTTGATCAGCATGTGAAGTTGTGCACCTGGGTATTTTCGTCTGGATATTTTTAGTATTTTTAGAGTTATTGCCCTTGACTCAGTAAAATTTTGTCCGAATTTCGTTTCCGGAGTAGTTCTCTGCAACTAATGGCTGGAATTCAACGAAACTTTATGGGAATGTTGATCAGCATGTGAAGTTGTGCACCTAGGTATTTTCGTCTGGATATTTTTAGTATTTTTAGAGTTATTGCCCTTGACTTAGTAAAATTTTGTAGTTTTCAACTTGTGTCGCATGTAACTCAAAAAGTATTTGACCTAGAGTCATGAAACTTTACAGGAATGTTGATCAGTATGTGTAGTTGTGCACCTGGGTATTTCGTCTGGATATTTTTAGAATTTTTAGAGTTATTGCCCTTGACTTAGTAAAATTTAGTAATTTTCAACTTGTGTCGCATGTAACTCAAAAAGTATTTGACCTAGAGTCATGAAACTTTACAGGAATGTTGATCAGTATGTGTAGTTGTGCACCTGGGTATTTTCGTTCGGATGTTTTTAGTATTTTTAGAGTGATTGCCCTTTACTTAGTAAAATTTTGCAATTTTCAACTTGTGTTGCATGTAACTCAAATTTACAGGAATGATCCTAGGGTGGTCCCCTGCCAAAGTTAATCAAATGGTTCCGGTCTGTTGCATAAGTAGGTCACAGGGCCAGAAAAGGAGTTTCAAAAATGCAAAATTAAAAAATCTTGTCTGAAAGTACAAGGCCTAGAGCTTTGATATTTGGTATATGATATAACCTATAGGTCCTCTACCAAAATTGTTCAAATTTTAGCCCTGGGGTCAAAATTGGCCCCACTCCAGGGGGTCATAGATTTTCCTTATATGTATACATGTATAGTGAAAACTTAAAAATTCTTCTTGTTTGAAGGTACAAGGCTTCAAGTTCAAAGAATATTACAGTTTATGCCATGATTAATATATAAATAAAGCCTTATGTCTTCAGTTGTTGTGTTAATAATAACCAGTACTCGGCGGGGGATATTAATTCAACGAATTTGCTTGTTTTCTTGTTTTCTTAAGAGCTACTAGCCTATAAACCCTTTGATCATGGAATGAACCTATTTTACTGTTATACAGCCCCTAAACCCAAAATGTTTGCTCGGACGGACGGAGGGTAAACCTAAAGTCCCCTCCGGTAAACCGGTAGGGGTCTAAAAAGCAAGCCACATATCCTGAGGGTGATTCAACAGTATACAAGTGACGAATACTTGAACCCCCCAACTGAAACAATAGAATATTTTTATCAATAACATAAAAATGTTAGTTTTTTAATAAACATACCTCATTTCTTAAATTTCTGATACGCACTATTTCAGCTACGTCTGAAGTATCTGTGTCCAGCAGTGTATAATCAGAGTTCCATTTGGGGTCCTTACTGTGAAATAAAGTCCTATGTAGAAATACCAAGAGAGTGATGTCATAGTCATCTGGTGATGATGAGCCGGAGTCTGGATAAATTATTTTATACTGGCTCTCATTTATGATATGCCTTGAGTCCTTTAAGTCACTTATTTGTTTTTTAAAGTCCTTATCCTCTATGTTCGTTTTTCTTGAAATCAATTCTTTCTTTAATTTGTGTCTTAAGACAAGGCCACCTCCTTTTACAATAAGAAGGCGCAATCTGCACGCATAGGTGTCTTCCTCTGTAATTTCGAGATTGAGGTCATCCATTTCGATGGTGCATTCTCCTGCAAAAATGTAACATATTAAGTGCACTGGTGCCATAGAACTTTTATTAATTTTCTTGATAGTAACAAATCTCTATGATTTCATATAATAATGAGCCGTGACATGACATTTCCAACATAGTGGTCAAATGTTGTAATCGTAGAAACGTTAAGGCAAAAAAATCTGGAAACAAAAGTGATCCCTCGGTTTGATTGAGAGATACTGATTACGTGCAACATCCCTCACGCCCCCTAGCACCGGCTTGAGCGGTACTCAATTCTCAACACTTTATGTTCCCGAAGTTCCAGAAAAATAAAACAACACTGAAGTGAAGTACGGGGCAACATTTTACAGCTGCCACACAGCACTTGAAACCTGCTGTTGTGAAGTATAAAAATCTGGAAACAAAGTGATCCCTCGGAAGCATTAATCACAACATAATTACAAGAAAATTGCAGACTCGGTTTGATTGAGTCTGTACACGAGAGATAATGAATACTTTTAACATCCCTCACGAAACATGCCTCATCAAAGTTGACGCCAATTTTATTTAATTATACTACGCGCGTTTTTCCAACCAGAGCTGTGCAGATTTTGAACTGCGTATATCAGATGTATGTAAGCAAAAAATCAAACAATTCGTGACTGCAATTATATAATACATTTTCCATGGCAATGTAACGTTTTTCAGCAGTTTAAAGATATGGGTAGAAATAACTCAATTTTAAAAGCGTAAAATTTAAGTACTAACTGCGTTGATAAACTGGTTCTGGTAGCTTTTAACCCCAACAAAACACTCGCTGAATCGTTATCTCAAGTACCAAGGAAGAAACTAAGAACAAGGAAAATATGAGTTGATAAATCTAATGTCATCTATTCAAACGACACTTGACATATTGTCTTTGCAATAGAAAACCCTAACAGGGCTTACTTACTTAAAAAAATTAAACGATATTTACAATGTACATGTTTTCTTTTGATTGTTACTTTATCTCCAGTGTCAAGATGTTTTCCAAGTATTTCTCCTTATTTTTATATGTCGTGGCTGATAAATAAATTGGAATAAACACGTTAATGTAAATAGAACAAGGAAGTTATCACATCACGTGTATATCATAGTGTTATGCAACATACTCTCAAAACAAGAGTACACAACTAAGTGTAGTGGACATGTGCGCAAGACCCTTGTCAGACAGACATGTCAAACAGATGTCAAAATAGTCCCTACTGCATAAGTCACGCAGAAGACATATGGTGATATTTTATTTTTGTAAATATTTTGCATTGTTATTTGATATGTTTTCTGTCAAAAAAAAAAACTGGAATCAAAGTGATCCCTCTTAAGCATTAATCACAACAAAATAACAAGAGAATTGCAGACTCGGTTTGATTGAGTCTGTACATGAGGGATAATGAAAATGTGCAACATCCCTCACGCCCCCTAGCACCGGCTTGAGCGGTACTCAATGGTAAGCCATTAAATCAAGGACCAAAATTAAATATACCTATTTCTGTTGCAAAATGATTTATTTTGACATATTTTGCCAAACTTTCTTTCAAGTACAAACTGAAATTGTCTACGGAACAACATATGTTCATTTCTTGTTACAATTAAATCTTTCGAATGGATCTGCTGTTTCAAAAATGCAAAGCTTCTTGGAATGTTCAATTATTTTTGAAAGTTGTCAATTTAATACTATTACTATGGGCATTATATTCCCAAATAGTGCATGAGGCTTTAGAGAACATAATATTTGTTCAATTATAAAAAAGTTAATAAACACAAATCATTAAAGCTTTACTCATGAAACACATACAAGTCAACTGTCTATAAACATTGTTTTAGGTGACCACAAAGAGTAAGATTTTCCCCAAGTTATGAAAGCAACTGCTTTAAAATGTCTTTAAGAAATGTTTCACTTTTAAATAAAATTAAATTGTCATTTTTAATGATATTTAAATTCGTAATTTCAATCAATAAATATTCCTGTTCAAATTCATCAAAACAAATTGTCAAATTAACGCCTTATTGTTATCAAATGCATTATTTAACTAGTATTGACAAAGTTTTCCCACCTAGAAACGCTCTCTGTTACATTTCTGACCATTTTAAAAAATGCAATTTCTTATTTGACTGGGTTAGACAAATAAGATTTATATTTTGGCGGGAAGCCCTTCGAGTATTTCCGTAAATGTTCGGATCTGAGTCACGTGATTTATATAACCAAAATAATGGCGGACAATACGAAAGGTGTGTCATGTATAAACGAGAAAGAAATGTTGAGATTGGAAAAGGCGAAAAGTGAAAAGAAACTGTGATTTAATTCAATCAAGGATATACTTCGGTAGTGATTCAAGGCGATGAAAAGTTCTAAAAAGGGTAATTAAAGCCAAAAGCGACCGTGAAGTTGTTACCAGTTCGTATCGATTTATTCAGGGAATAAACATATACACATACAATGTTATCACATATATCAACTTGCATATATATAAAAACACAAATATAAATGCAACAAAAATAATTATTAGATTAATTAATGAGTATGTTCTATGTAACCCTAGGATTGCCATTAGCTTAAAGCTTATTTCCAATGGGTCCATTTACTGTAAAATTATTACACTAACTTACAATAATAATAAATGAATTATAAAGAAGTTAAAATAAAATGACAATTTTCAACAATCAAGACAAATTTTTCAATATAATGAAGACAAGTACATTGTACACAAACAAAATGAAATAAATTTCGTTTAAACTAAAACATATCAAGTACAACATAAACATGTTACAAAACCTTATCATAAGTTACCCATCAATTTTAATAAAAAAAACATATTATTCAGTTGTTTATCATTTTCATTACTTAAAAAAAGTTTTACTTTCGTTTTAAATGTTTGGATATTGTCAATTGATCTAATGTTGTCTGGTAAAGAATTCCAGTCTTTTATGGCATTGTAGAAAAATGTATTTTTAAGATAAGAATCATTTGAGGCAAAACAAAATTAAAATTACTAGATCTTAAATTGGAATATTCTACAAACCATAAACCAATTCCTTTAAATAATAAGGGGCTTTTGTTGTAATAAAACTTTATGAATGTGGTTGAGTCTTAACTGTCTAACTCTATCATTGACATTTAATAATTTAAGATCGGACAGAACCTTATTTGTCACCGAAGTCCTAGGAGTGTAGTCTTTTATAAAGCGCACAACCTTATTTTTTGAGCTTCTTGAAGTTTGTGCTTCTTCTGTGACTTACTCAGTCCTTCGTACCAAGAAGATGAAGAATAATCAAAAGTGACACAGCAAAAGGGCAGGACATAAACCGTTTCTTTATTTCTTCCGATAAACAATTTTTGTAACGGTATAGAAAATGTAATCTTCCATTCACCTTTGAAAGAATGCCATTGACAATTTTATCTCCTGATAGTAACAATCGATATTCAAACCAAGATATTTAACTTCAGACGATGACTTTATTGTTTGATCATTACATGAAATGGATTTTTTTGCTAGCTTATTAATTTTTGATTTAGAACCAAATAGCAATACTTCAGTCTTGCCCCAGGTGAAGAGATAATTTTATTATCAAACTAACCAATCTGACCATCGTTCCAAGACCTTTCCAAGTTTTTTGGGCTATAAGTTTTGGATCCTTATGCGAAAATAATATTGTGGCTATCATCTGCATATAAAATGAACTTGCAATCAGAATCTATACTAGTTACCATGTCATTAACGTAGCAGAGAAATAGAAGAGGGAACCCAAAATACTGCCTGATTCCCGACCCACACGTATAGGAATTGAATCAAACAAAACTTTACCAATACTTACTTTCTGATACCTTCCTGACAAGTATGATTTAAACCAAGAAATAGATTTGACACCTAATTATATCTAATTTATCACACAAAATATCATGATTGACGGTATCAAATGCTTTTTGTAAGTCCATCATAACCATACCAGTGAGTAACCCTTTGGAGAGAGCTATATTTGTACGGATATAGTCAAGTAGGTAAAATAAGACATGTGTCAGTTGAATGAGATTTCCGAAACCCGGACTGGGTGTTTCGTAAATTAGATTATTTAGTTCTTAGAAATGACACAAATTGTACATACAAGCCCGTTTCTAGAATCTTGGATTCAATACATAAAATACTAACTGTCTGTAATTCCCGACATCTAGCTTACTATTTCTTTTTGTGTAGATGGTTTTTACTTTAGCAATTTTCATATCATCTGGGACAATCCCCCTCTGTTATTGAAGAATTCACAATATAAAGTATAGGGGATTTTTTTTAGCACATCAGCACCATCTTTAAGAAATTTTTGCAGGGATACCATCTAATCCAGTGCTTTTGCTTATATTAAGCCTACATAATTCTTTATATACAAACTCCTCACTTACATGATGAAGGTGAAACTCTTTTTGTGATATGTTCCTATAAATATTCTTAATTGTATCGGATGATGCACTATAAAAATTCTTTTCTGCCGGGAGTTTCGGTACTAAATTAGATGCAATATTTGTAAAGAAGTTATTAAAATGACTAGCAACTCTGCAAGGATCGTGATAGATTTCACCATCAATCGACAAAACAATATTCGGACTTTCTTTTTTATTGTTACTGTAACCATGTTACTGTATCTGATTGACAGGTGTGGCGATCATCTTTTTTGTTTGCGTTTAATTTTTTCTTGGTCTTAGATCCACTTATAAATATAATTTCACCTACGAATATATAAACATAGATATTGTGTTGTAGTTTTAAGGATAATTTTGACTTATGATAAAGAAATTAAGTTTGCAGATCCACGTCTGTGTGTTAAGTTTTCGTTCACTGTAATTTTCGTACCAATAAACTGTTAAATAAAAGGTCGGCTGAGCCTGATCCGGCGTATGTTATAACCATTGTAATATCGTTTAAGATGGCCAGAATTCCATAAACGACAGCCTACTGTTTACTGTCAACTGCTTACTGTCAACTGCCTACTGTCAACTGCTTACTTTAAACTGCTTAATGCTTACAGCGACTGTTTAATGCTTACTGTTAATT